AAAAGGTTAATATATAAAAAACTATGCGGTTCATCAGTGGCAGTCTCATATATTTTATAAATTAGTTTCTTGCTTTCATGTAAATTATCGCTTCTAACAATTGCTGATAATTCATCTTGCAATATTTCTATCTCTTTAAAATTTCTAACTTTATAATAAAACAAATGACTTATATTTACTCTAATAATTGGTGGTACGGTTGATGATTTTTGAAGACTTACAAGTGTTGATATTCCACTATGACGACCTCTACAAAATAAAGAATTTAACAATTTGTTATTTCTTGTTATTGCTGGATTATCAGATACATCATCCAAAATTACCAAAATATTAAATAATTTCTTCGTTCCTTGTTTTTTCTGATATTCAATTATTTTATTTTGAGTTTCTATAACTCTTTCTAAATCTTCAACATTGAACTCATCCCACCAACACGTTTCTTTATCATTATCTACTTTCAAACCTTCTTTAATGTATTTCTTCACTGGCAACCAAATACTATCTAAATTTACAGATGGAGACCAGATAAAAATTCTTTCAAATGCTCCTCTATAAATATCAAGTATCATTGATACAAGTAAAGTTGATTTTCCACTTCCAGATGGACCGACGATCATAGCTCTCATAGGCAATTTAGGGACAACCGCATGCTTACTTTGCTTAAAGTCATATTTGATTTCATCAATTGGTTTTACATCAGGCATAATAAAAATAATATTAAAAATATTTAGAAAATAATTTAATATTATTTATTGTATGAAAGCATTGCTATGATATGAATGGTGTCTATCGTAGTAGAACAGGCTCTTTCATCAACTTCAATCAATAAGCATTGAAGCTAATTAGTTTGTATCTCTCTCGCGTGTGCAATGAAAACCCCAAGTGCTGAGCCCTCGAATATTCTATCATGCATGAAAATAATAAGATTAAATAATCTAAATAATTATTTTATCTTATTATTATATGACTGTTATCCATTGTAATTGTTGTAAAACTTATGATAGCAAATATTTATTTAAACATCTAAATTCAAAACATCATCAGAAACTTGTAGAACATAGATGGAATAAAGATGATACAATGAAAAAACTGTACAACTCTAGGAAAAAGAACTTTTTTCCTAGAGTTCTAGAACTTGAAAGAACTTGATAAGTTCTTTCAAGTTGTACAAGGAAAGAAAGACAGAAATGAAAAATAATTTATCTTATTATTTATATGAATAGGAGTTATTCAAATTATATTAATATAATAGATGAAGTAGAAAATATAGAACAAGTACTAATAACTGATAATAGATGTAAAAAAATATGTTATTTTATTTTAGAATTAATTAAGTTTTTGATACAATATATTAAAAATATAAATATTAATATAAATGGGAAAAAAGAAAAACAAAAAGAATAAGACAGGTTTAAGTGTTTCATCAACTGATGAAGAAATTATTAAAGAAACATCAGTTATTGAGGTTGTTTGTCCTACATGTAAAAGAATGTTAGAACTTAAGAATGAATTACAAATAAAAAAATAATAAAAGTTGTAAATGTTCATGTATTCCAACAAGTTTCAAAATAAGTAAACATGATAAGAAAATGAATATTGATAAAACTAAAGACAGTATCAACTTAGAAACTGATGTCCATAGTATAACTTTTAAATTTGGTAGGCAAGCAACACCAACCGATAATAATGAAAACGAAACTCAGGAAACTGTTAAACAAATCATGAAAAATTAGTATTTAAAGAGTAGATTTAACATAATTGCACTTTATAAATATAAATAATTAAATAAATAATTATCTAAATAAATATATAGTAATGTCTGAAAATGAGAATTATACTATTAATGATTTAATGAAGAAGATAACATTAATTGGTAAAAATATCAAAACCTTAAATGATATGATTAAATCGATTGATGACAAAATGAAACCAGTTGAACGCAATGAAGATAAAGAAAAAATCGAAAAGATATTTCAAGCAAAATCTATAGGAAGACCAACGGGTGATTATCCTACAAAGCAAAAGAAATACTGTGATATGTTGAATACAGGAAAAATCAAACAACCTAAAAGCACCACTTTAGAATTTTACAAAATTTCAAAAAATGATGATGGAGTATATGTATTATTTGAATAAATAATATCTAAATAATTCTAATAAATGAATTTATTAGAATTATTTAGCAAGAAAACCTATACAAAATACCTAGCGAATTAATTTGTGAAATCTTAGTGAGTTTGACGGAATAAGGATTAACATAGCTTGATTTTTGGATTAACATAGCTTGATTTTTGGATTAACATAGCTTGATTTTTGGATTAACATAGCTTGATTTTTGGATTAACATAGCTTGATTTTTGGATTAACATGGCTTGATTTTTGGATTAACATGGCTTGATTTTTGGATTAACATGGCTTGATTTTTGGATTAACATGGCTTGTGAAATGTGGTGCTATAATTCTTAATCATACTATAATAATAACATTTATACCCTTATATGTTATAATTATAATGTAAAATGACTTAAAGGAATAAAGACTTAATATAATAAGAGAAAAATGCCAATGATAGGAGTGACAGAAAAAGAGCTGGAACAGGATAGAAAGATAATATTGAGCTTCATTAAGGATAATCCCTATCCATCGTATAAACAAGTCATTGAAATAATTAAAAACGATAAAACAATGAAAGATATATATCCAGATATGTTCGCTGAGTATGGAGAACAAAATCATCAATGGATAAAAGAGATTTACGAAAACATAATGAAAGAAGAACTCGTTAAACATAATGGTAATAGTATTAATGAAAGAGGAGGAATGACAACAATGCATTTTAATTATTATACTTTGGTATCAGTGTTGCGTTATTTAATACAACAAAGAGCACCAATGAAAGATTATGACGTTAGCTTAATCTGGTATAATATCAGAAACATCTTGAGCAGTTCTTGGAACAACATAGGAGACTGGAAACACTAAAAAACAGGTTTAATCATACTATAATAATAACATGTAAACTATTATATGTTATAATTGTAATATATTTATCGTTTGTAAAGATTGAATTATTATTTGTTTCTTAGTTTTTGAGTATGTCCTAAAACTGTATAAAGACTTAGAACTATACATTAATAAGAATAATGGAAAACCAAAGTGAAAGGCAGTGCTCCAAGTGTTGTAGAATGTTAGGAGTTGAAGAGTTTGAAGGTGAAAACAAAAACTGTAATAGGTGTTTAGAACACAGAAGAACATGTTATGAAAAGCATAAGGAAGAATATAGGGCAGAAGCGAATAGATGGTGGAAGGAAGATGAAGAGTATAGAGAAAAGAAAATGGAAAGGAATAAACAGTGGAACAATAAGTTGTATTTTTGTAGTGAGTGTGATTTGTCTATGTATTTGAGAAATAAAGCAAGGCATGAGAAAACAAGTAAGCATCAAAGAAATGTAGTTGTAAAGCTGAATAATGAAATGTGAAAGGTGGAACTATTAGGTGAAATGTGTTTTAGTCATATTTTAAAGTCTGAGTGAAAAATTCGTGAACAATGAATAAGGTAAAAAGAACAAATGAAGAATAACTGGAGTTTCTGAGAATTGGAAAAAGACTTAAAATATAAAATGACTAAGGGTAAACAAATAGTAAAATGAAATAGGTTAAGTAGTGAAAAAATAATGGATAAGGTGTGTATCTTTTCTAGGAATTACTTAGAATGAATAAGGTTGTGATTTATTAACCTTATCTATTAGTTGATACTTGGTTTTTCAATGTGTTTTTCATTGGTTGATAGAAAAAATAGTAAAAGGATTTTCAGTTCCTTCAAATCCCCTTTTACTATTTTTTGGGGGGGGGTTGGATCTTGGATTTTTCACTTTTTGGTTGAAATCCAAGAGGGGGCGAATTCAACCACACTTGCTGGATCTATGGCAACCATTTTGTTCGACCTGGCCGAAACCGGAAACTTAAGGACCGTTTTCCCAGTTGGTCAATTCCGGACTTCATGGCCTCGAAGCACTCTTTTTTGACCATTTTAATGGCAGAGATAAAGCACAAAATCACAAAGTGAGTTACTTTTTATTGGAACCTCCAAAGATAAAGTTTGGCTTTTTAGTGACTGTTTTGGGCCAGTCACAAGGTGAGTTTCCCTTTTGGAACCAAAAATGGCGGTTGTTTCAATGGAAACCACCGAAAAAATCCCGTGACCCCTGTGAAAATGGGGGGCGGACTTGGAACAAGAAACATAGCCAGCACCCCCCCAACCTTTCCTGTCCAAAACGCAGTTGTGGAGGATAAATATATGAAAGAGTCATCTTTTTGAACGGTGCTGAATTGTTGTTTTTCTCCTAATCAACTTGGTTTCGTGAGTTTGCCTCTTCCTGCCTTCAGGCAGTGACGCCGTGGATGGCCGAACTCCATTTCGCACCACCCTAAAGTTGCCCTAAAGAAGCCATGGAATGATATTGTTTCCCCTGCAAATACCAACAAGCAATTCCTGGAGTCTCCATGACCCTTTAAAAATGGTTGGTCATTGCCAAAATAATGGGGTCATGGACCCATTTTTGAAGGGTCAGAAGGAGACCAGGTGGATGGACGAAAATCCTGCACCATTTTTAAAGGATCAGAAGGAGACTCCAGGTGGATGGACGAAATCCATTTCGCACCACCTAAAAAAGCCATGGAATGATATGATATGACTTCCCTACAAATACCGAAACAAACGTTCTGATTTCAACCATGGATTGAAAGCACCTAAGGACTCATTATTGATGATTCCCCTGTAAATACCGACCATCAACTAGTTTCAATAGTTTAGAATTTCTGCGAGTCCGGATTCCGGATTTCGCCATCCACATTCATCCCAATCCCCACTAAAATAGGTTCTAACATGGGTGGTGATTTCACCCAATCCAACCAAAATGGGGTATCCCAAAACGGTGTTGACAACCACGGCCATGTGAGGGAAGGGAAATCTGCGGTAGCCGTTCGGTCGATTCGCTGTCCTCAGGCTCGAAGTTCGCCTCCTTCCAGGCGCCGAACTTCTCGGCCGGCAGCTTCACCACCACCTCCAACCAGCGGGGAGGGACTGGTGGTGGGGGGGGGCCGGGGGGGTGGGGAGGGGGGGTTAAGGGCTAAAAAAGACATACCCATATCGCGCCAGTAAAGCGACTCATTCTCCCCAATGGAATAAGTTGGAAAAAGGGGTTCCCTGTTACCTTGCCTGCAGAAATGCCCACATTTAGGGCATCCACCGTAAGATGAAGATGGACCCTCGGGACTGCTTGGCGCGATTTGGGGAGGCAATAAAGGTGGTCTGCTCCGTGTTTAGGCTAAAGCAAAGAAGAGACCCCCTAAACATTGAAATCACTCGATATCTGTGATACCAAAGTGGTTGACCCCCCATCCAACCACAAAATGTGGGTGACTCAGGCCAGATGGACTGAAAGGAGTCCATGTAACTCACCAGTGCAGGCGGGTAACTCAGCATGGGAAACCTGAACCCCGATTTGTTGTGACCAATCATGAACTTTAACCACATGGCCCAGTTCCATGGGTTTTTGCTGGCTGAGCTTCCGGCCAAACAGATCTCTACCAGAAGAGACACCCCCAACTTCCCTGGCAAAGGGGAAACATATGGGCACCCATGCTTCGGTATGGAAACCCGCAACACACCTTCCATTTGTTCAAGTCCCCTGGCAAGAAAAAGATAACATGTTTCCAGGTAATTGTTTGCAAAGTCCACCTGGCGCGTGGATTTCGCAGCCATCCATCCAACCGTTGTTTTGCTTTCCAAAAACCAACAGAAGGGGCAGTGTACACAAATATCGGGTTGATCAAAAAAAACGCGCAGATTTGGTCCAAGCCAGTTGCACTTCTCAGTTCGCTCTTTGCCTTGAAGTCCAGACAGCCCCCGCAGACCACCCGCTGCACGCTGCTGGCGCCGGACGCCTTTCAAACAAAAAAAACAGCGTGGCAGCGGCGACGGATGTGAGTTCTTGAGGGAACCCTGGTGGCATTGTGTAGGGGTCCCATTCCTTGGAATTGTCGAGGAGGGAAGCCTGGTGCGCTTCTCATTCCTACCAGACGCAGAGCCGATTCTTTTGGGCCCAGAGAAATGGCCTCCCTTTCCTCTTCCGGATGTCGGCCAAACCACGTCCCAACGAGCCGAAAATTCGAAATGCGCGGGACGGCAAGATCCGGCTTGGGGGATCCAAGCCGGAGACCCCCGGCTGAACACTCATCCCACCTCTATGGAACCGGACTAAGGACATATGTACATTGTATATATATATATATGTATATGTCTATATGTATATTATATATATATAAGAAAGCGGCCACAGACCTGTTTCTGGCCGGGACTGTCTCTTGCCCTTTGTCTGCGCGGGTTTTGAGTGCGGCTCAGCTCTTCTTACTCAGAAACGATGGTCTTAACGCATTGTTCCAGTCATTCCACGATGACGGTTTTATTATATAAACTGCCTTCCTCGTCGCTATAAATCCCTTCTGGTTTGCCTTTCATTTTCTGTAATCATTCCATTACTCCAGCTAATATGTCTGGTGGTTGTTTTGATTTAATAGGTATTACTGTAGAGTATCTGGTAAATATATCAATGAAAACCATGCCTAGTTTAAATTTTTGTTTATGCCTTTTTTGGGGGCAGGCGTGACCACACGCGCAAGCACACAAACACACAACTCCAGTAGTTTATGTGCGAAAATAACTCCACCCGGGCAGCCTGCGGCAGGGATGGTCTGGGGAAGCTGCCTGCAATCAGAATCCCAAGTGCTATGGCCCCCTTTGTTCGGATTGGCTTAAGGGGAAACACCTAGTTTGAGGGTCCCCTAGTTGAAAACAAATGAATGGCTAGACAGTGGCGGCCCCATTCAGGGCAGTTCCAAAAACCCTAAAGTGTAGAAAGTTGATCCCTTGGAAGGAGAAGTATAGTGGATAGCCTTGGCTCAGGGGAATGGAATCATTTGGGTATAGGTCGAAATGAAACCACCAGGGAGCCGCAGGTTTTAGTCCAGGGCAAGCCATTTTCCACACCAACCCATTTTCCTCACCGCCATTTGTACCCACAAAATCGCACCAAGGGGTAAATTGCAACAAAGACTAAAACCTGCTGTTGGCGTAGTCTCCATGACCCTTAAAACATGGGGTTAGCATGACCCCGCTGTTTTGGCGAGTGACCAACCATTTTAAAAGGGTCATGAAAACTCCAGCTAGGTCTTTCATTTTTGAGCACCCATTTGGCCATGGGTCAAAATCCAAATCGTACCCCCACTAAACATCCGATTCAATCCAACCACTAAAGTAGGTTCTAAAATGGGTGGTGAATTCACCTACCCACCAAAATGGTACCATTGGTTTTGACCCACAGCCATATGCGTTGACTCTGTTCCAACACATAGCATACCTTTGGAGTTGGACATAGGTGTTGCACCCAATCTTTGACCATCACAGCCCTTTGGCACCATGGCGCTGACTTCACCTTGGGCAGCAACTCCTCCAGCAGCGTCTGCGCCGCGTCCAGGGAGGCCTGAACGGACGAGCTTCGAGAGCGAGCGACGAGTCAAAAGGGGCGGAAGACGGGTGGTGCCCCTTTTTGGAGCTGCTGCGCGCGTTTTTGTTGGGGCGTGTGAAGGTTGTGTGGGATTTTGAGGTGTTGAAAAGTCGTTGGGATTTCTTGGGATTTTCTACTTTGAGTGGGTTTGTTAGGTGTTTGCTTAGTCGTGTCTTGCTGTTTTGGGGTACAAACATGGCGCCTGTGGGGTGGTACTTGGAAGGACGGTTTGCTCTTGGAGGGAGCCCCTTTCAGGTGCCATGTTAGTGGGAGGGAGGGCACATATATTTTGAATTCAAACAAAAAAGTTATATGGAGTTGACAAATAAGAAGGATAATTGACATTATGGCATATCTTATGTTTGTTAGGAGAACAATATTTTTTGTATTTTTTACATTATAATAAATGTATTTAAAAATTTGAAACATAATATATTTGTTAAATGACATTTTTGTGTAATTATATAGTTTAGTTCTATACTTTTTTGGCTTTTATGATTGATTAATTTAAGTAACATATTATATTTATAATATCTCTGTTTTTTGTTGATGTTTGTGTTTAGTATTTTATTTATGAAGGACTTTGCTTTGTTCGGAAGTTAAAGGGAACAACTTTTAAACCAAACCCAACTGTGCTTCAACCTTTCCTGCATCGTTTGTCTGTTCTGCCCAAACCAACCGCTTTGCTTTGCTTCCAGGTGTTTCGGGCAGGCGAAAAGGCATTCGGTTGTTCTTGCGAAGAGGGCCTGGGCCATCCTCAGATCCTCTGCTAAGGCTCTAAACCTCTATTAGAAAACCACCCAAACACCCTGGGAAGACCGCTGGTTTTTGAAAAGAACGATGGTGTAAAAGAATGGGGAATCAACCCGTAGAAAACCCCTGCTAAACCCTAAACAGGCTAAACGCTTAAGGGGATGGCTGGGAACCACCAAGGGGTGTAAGCCAACTCATCAAAGGGCGCAGTTCCGTTTCAGGTGCTGAAAGGGTCAAGTACCGGTTGAGGATGTACCAAAGAGGGGTCACCTGTCTCAACTGCAACTTACTTTGTTTCTGGGCCGCCCATAGCCGCGCGAAGGCACCGAACGGCCTTGTCGTTGTCCGCCGACCACTTGCAGCGCCACTCCCGCGCAATGTTATTGAACCTCAGGTCTTGGATGTTCAAACCACTTCGTAAGTCGGCTTTAAATGGGACTGTCCTGGGTTGACGTGGCCTAAGGGCTCAACAGAAGTGAAATCAATGCTATTAAAACCTCAGAGCAGTCGATCTCCCACTGCAGGAATTGGATAGTCTTGAGAGGTGGTGCTGAACAGCACTTTCTTGGCCGCAAAGTGAGTTTCCTCTCGGTGATGTTTAAGGGGAAATATGGGCGCGTCCCCTTTGGGGTCGGCCTAAGGACAACGAGCAGCAAGCCATCTAGTTGGAGTGCTTTATTTTGAGACATAACCAGAGTGGGCAATACGGAAGTGGTCCCCACTGCAAGTAAATCAACCACAACCACCTGTGGACCATGTTCGCTCACTGAATATTTTGGGAAGTAGCGCCTCTGTTGTGTCACCAAATGAACAAGAAATGCTGAACCACACTGATTCCATTGGTGAAATACGTGAAGTGGCCTGTTGCCAATCATGTAGCTCCAGTTGGTGGCTGTGCTTAACTGCTGCAAGCGAGAATACATGTTCCTCAACGGACGTGGCAGAATGGGCGGTGTTCCGTTACGTTGGCCTTTTGTGGATCCGTCCTCATCTCTCCAAATTTCAAGAAGCCTGCTGGTATGTCCACATGTTTTCCTATTTGGAAGGGTCCAGCTTGGCGTCATTTAATCTAAGAATGGCAGACAATGGGGGACCCCGCCAAATCTTGAGCTTTCTTGTTGCTGCCCTTTGGACCAAGGGGGCGCCGAACAAGTACGTGCTCCGTGTTCCGGCAAGCTCATAACTCTGTCATAAATCGACTGTTCGGTGGAGTTCTGCTAGTTAAGGCCACAAAAGGAATCTTCATCATGGCTTGGTCGCGAGTCGCGAGTCGCAGGTTGGGAAGCGATTCCCGACCCCACAAAGTGGGTCCTTCGCGGGGCCCGGTAGTCGTGAAATTCGGGCAAGAGGACCCCCCAAAATGGACCCCCAAGATGGTTGGCGCCCTTGGTGTTGTCCTTCAAAGAGGAACCTCGACACCCTTCAAGGCCTTCGCAGGCGAAAACTTAGGAACCCAGGAATTTCAAGACCCCAAAGGTGATCACCTTTGGGCCACGAAACATGGCTACCAACCTCGAAACACCAACTTGTTTGGTTCAGGTCGCTTTGCTTTGCGAAAATCGAGCCAAGGGAAACCTGACCTTCGCAAAGAAGGTCACTTCTTGCCGAGGCTCGACACCTTTGGCGTGATGGAGGCGTTCCTGGCAATCCGAATCTGGGAGTGACCGTCGCAAGTTTGCGAGAGTAAGCCAAAGGACCGATTTGTGTATCCTAACGTATTTGATATGTGAGACTTATCCAAATGGCGCACAGCTGCCCCCCCATTCTTTTCTGTGAAAGGTGTGGCATGGTTGCGGCAAAATTGGAACTTTGCCAATACCAAAGGGGGGCATCCCTTTTTCATTTCGGACTTGTCTTGGTCACCGCAAAGGGAATCTCTTTGTATAACAGAAAATGGAAAACCCACACCGCTCTTTCCCAAACATTGATCTTGGAGGGTGAACAACTTCTTGTGGGGCACAAGTACCACAAGGAAGGAGCCCTCTTTACAAGGCAAATGGCTGGCCTAAGCTCCCTCCGAGCACTTGCCCTCTTGTCTTTCTCTCTAAAGCTTTTTTCATTCCCAAGTTTGAGGAAAGCTGTTCAACCATACGGGTGTTGGTAGGCATCATTTAGGTGGGGATTCATGTCCACCAACCACTTTTGAGTGTGTTCCCTCTTAAAGTCATAGAGCCATATAAGTCGACATTACACTCAAACCAGCTCACATTCATTGGGTCCTGGCGCCGAAGCGAGAGATCTGTGCAGCTGCACGCATCATGGCTCTGGAAGGTTTGTAGCGCGGACTTTCTAACTAACTTGGGCTACGGCTAGGAGCCGGCACCGGCCACCGTCTGAGCATACACCAGGAATTCCGAGGCACAAATCCCTTGAAGTGAAGGATGACTGAACCAAAATGGTTGGAAGCATAGGTGTCCTGTTGGGGGAAATAGATGGCCCTGGTAGATGAGTAAACCACCTGGTAAACCAGGGCCATCTATTCTTTTGCCAAAACAACCAAAAAAGACACCTATGGTTGGAAGTGTGTCAGCTTGATCACATGAAGGGAACGATTGTCCAAATGTCCTCATTTAGGTTGCCCCTCCAAGGGCCATGTTCGAACGGTTGTCCAACCAGTGCTCAACCTTGGCTACATCACGGGGGTGTGACTTTTAATTCGCGACCAATTGGTGGACATCATTTTGGGAATTGTGTCCTCCAACGACTTGTGGTCGGTGGTTCCTTGTTAAAAGTCAGATAGCCATGTCTGGCTATCTTCATGTATTCCCAGCCCGAGCGTTCACGCCACTTTGGGGGGGGTTGTCCTTCGAATGGAACTCCCCCGACCCCCGGATTTCTCAAAAGCCTCACCAGCCATGTGGCTGTGGGGTGTCTTTTGGTGGGTAGAGAGAAAACCAACAGGAAAACCACACCACTTTGGGAGGGGTTTCCCTGCGCTTCCATTCTCCCGGCGGGTCATTTTCACGCTGGCTCAAAATGCCAAGACACGCGCGGATCTGTGGCAAGCTACAAGAAACCCCGCGTGAGCTCTGGTCAGACTATCGGAATTGAGATTCACCTCGCTATACCTCGCTACTGTGGATGGTTGCGAAATCCATTTCGCACCACAAAATAAAACCAGGGTTGAAACCATAACGTTTGTTAGAATTTACATTGCTTAGGTGGTGCAGGATTTCGTCCATCCAGAGTAGCACTAATGAGAATGGACAGTAGGTGGAGCGGGTTTTATTCGTCCCCACTCATCCAGGATTTGTCCATCCAAAGAACGCTTGACTTGTGTGCATCCAAAAGACATGGTCAAATATAGCGTGCTCCACTTGATTGCACAAATTACTGTAAAGAATGCACCAACTAGATATCAGGCATGCCTAAGGAACGGACCTTCATCATGGATGGAATTACTAGATTTATACACGATATTGATGAGCTCATTACAATTTGCGCAGTTGTTCTTGCTCAATTCTGCCAACTCCGATTCACATGAAGCTGTTTTCTGGTTGCCAAAGGGCCCCCGACAAAAACAAACAAGCAGCAAGCGTGGGCCGTGTTCCCCGTTCCACAAACGGCCAATGACGCTGAAGAAGGAGCCACTTGTTGCGTTGGGATCGACCATGAGATCCTGTGAGTCATCTCTGTTGCACGCAGCCCCCATGGGATGGACACCAAACGACCCTCTTGGCACCGCTTCCCCACCCGAAAGAGGAAAAGTGCCAATGGGGGGTACCAAAGGCGTGAATGGGCGTGGGATGTGTCAAGCTTGCCCAAGCCGAAGTTGCCCACAGTTTTCTCTTCCCACCCTTCAAACCAAGGAAACCCAAGGCAAAACGCCTGGGAGTGGAGAAAAAAAAAACAACAAATCAGGGCCCGGTGCTGATCGCCTCCCTCATGGGTCGTCAGGTTCTCGGCAAAAGCCCAAAGGAGTCCCAGCGGCCGGGGCAACCCCCGGAAGACTAAGACTCAAGACGTCGGTCCAATTAGATGACATTTGAAAGGGTCCAAGGAGATGTTGGTCCATTGATATGACAAACAACAAAAAAACGTGTCACCCAAGATGCTTGCTCGAGACTTGACCCACACCAAGGATTTGCGGGTAGCGAAGCTCACGCGCGGCCGAATGGGAGCCGTCGATTGCTGTTTTGTCATGAGGGAAGTGTCAAATCGCGGCGCGTCAAAATAGGGGATGCCGCACCAAAAATGGGTTGACTCCTTTTGGTTTCCCTTGAACGCAGCCCAAAAGGGGGTATCCTAAAAGAAACCAACCCCAAATGAAAGCCTGACCATATGACCAGAAACCGCGACCATCCTCCATTTGAAATGAAGAAACAATTGAAGAGGGGCTCTGCTTTCTTGGAGGGTCCCTTGCAGACCACAGCTACTTCAGCCAGATTTTTTGTTGTATAGGATGTCCTGCTGGGTATCATGCAGCCCTCTGGGCAGTGGATTTGGGGGCTTGCCGCCTTCTGCTTTTCTGGGTCGTGAGAAAGAAATCAGTGTGATGTCGCTACAACTTGCCCACATTTGTTCTTGGCTAATGCTCAACCCGAAAGCGACAATTAGGGCAAACATGCGCCAACTACTGTGATTCACCAACGTTGAAGAATCCACAAGCAAGCAACCTTCGTCATGGGCTTTCAGAAATGTATCTTGTTTTCCCTGGATCGCTGAGCTACTGCTATGTCTTACCAAATGTCCCATGGCCACGCGACAGTCAAAAAACTCAAGAAGCTCAAGATGCCAAAACGAACGCCACGTGAGAAAACAAGAACTGGGTGTTTTTGCGGCCACCCACTAAACATCGACAGAACCAGAAAAAACAAACTAGACGCCCAAAAACAAAGCTCAGTGAAGAAACCCTCCCCCCAGGTCCAATCTCGGCCAAAACTGTACCTTTGCAAGCTCTCCCCCGATCGGGCGGATACCTTGCAACTCTCAGCGCCTCAAGTCTCACTCGCGCTTGCGCCAAGCCTGGGATCTGATCCAAAGACTCTGATCGGGACCTTGAAATCAAGGGTCACTTTTTGGGACCAAAAGACAAAAAAAAAACGTGGAAACCAAACCTTTTGAAAACCAAAAGGTCATTCCAGGTCGATTCGCTTGGGGCAACTGAGAAGAAGTTTCAACTTGGAAAGGAAATCCCTGGCCGTGTCCCTTGCCCCCAAGATCTGGAACAACTCCGAAAGCTGGCGCAGGGGACCTGCCCAAGCAATTGATCGAAACTCGTGAAAAGCCGCCTGAAATAAGCTTGTTTTGTGCAAAAACATACGGTTTAACCACCTACTTCACCTCTAAGACCACCTAAATGAGCCTAGGAATTGTGAAGAAACAAATGTTTCATGTGACTTTCCTATTTGACATATATCCATTTGGATCCGCCATTTGCCGCCTTAAGATCTCAAAGCAGCAAAAACCATGACCCTGCAACCGTCCGTTCAGTCAATGGTAACTCTCCAAGTTGGTTGCTCAGGTTGATTAGTTGGGTTCGTCGCTCACATCCTGCAAGTTGCCCGAGAATGACAAAGAAAATTTCAGCTCAAATTTGGGGCCGCATGGGAAAATAAAAGATCAAAGGCTCGGCTTTGGGTAACTAAGCAGGTGGTTGATTGGTTGGGTTAGCTGGCGATCACCTATCTCAGTTGAGCCTCCAACACCCTCGTGAAACCATCTGGGTGTTTTGTTTTGCGTTGCTCTGCCTAAGACACGTCTGCGGGTCAAGGTGCTATGATGTGTGTATGTGCATATGAATGTGCATGCATACTTGCATATGTGTATATATATATATGTGTGTGTATGCATGCCTGCATGCCTGCATGCCTGCCTGCATGCATGCATGGCATGCCTGGCATGCAGGCATGCATGTCTGTATGCCTGTATGTCTGTATGTCTGTATGTCTGTATGTATGCATGTATGTCTGTATGTCTGTATGTATCCCTAACTGACCAAACCAAATGAAAAAAATGGTACCCTCCTTCTTTCAGGGTGGCTCGGATATTTTTTGAATTTGTCACTGGGCTTCTCAAAGACTTGCCGAGTATTGGGTACTTTTGCGAGGTGTCGCATCTCCTTATCAACTTATTCTCATGGGACATGATACTGTGGATGGGTGAAAACCAAGAAACCTGGATTGATGACTCCCCCTGTAAACACGGTGGCAAACAATGTGGTTGCAACCATGGTTTCTCTTAGGTGGGCGTAATCCAAGGCTTGGATTTCGCCACCATCCGCAGTATTCTGAGGCCTTCAGCTGGTTCCATCGATTTGAAAGATTGGGACATGTCCCAAACCGCCATTTAGCTCATTTGATCGAACCAGCGATGTTAACGAAGATGAAACTGGATGGACGAAATCCTGCACCAGTTCGAAACCATGGTTGAAACCAATTTTGTTGGTGACAGGGGAATTGCACCATTCCAAAGTTTCTTAGGTGGTGCGAAATGGATTCCGTCAATCCACAATATCATGTAAAATTCCTCATTTCGATGTAGCTCGGCCGTCACGACAGGGGTGAACTCAGATTTAGCCTAACATACTTTGATCCAGGTCTGGGGGAATCTTCCCCATTCTGTTCCATCTATGGGCCCAGCCGAACCCAACTCGCTGGGGCCCGCACCCCGCCAAAAGCTGTCGGCTGTCTCACATCTGACAAGGCATGGGGGCATATCGATATGTATACCTAGGTCCCCCAGTAGAGAGGTTAGAATGAGGGTACCAACTTTTTCTGTGGTCTATTTTAGTAGGGGAAGCCTCCCCCCAAAAAAGGGTAAAACGGCACTACTGGGGAACCTAGATACTCATACCCTTTCAAAATAGGTCCATGACCCCATTGTGTTGGCGAATGACCCCCATGTTGAAAGGGTCATGGAGACTCCAGGTACTCATACGCAATGTCTGTCACAAGTGTCATACATAGATAGAGAGAGAGATGTCTTGGCAAATAGGAGTACATTAAAGATCATCATCTTCTGACAAGTTTCATCTCCAGGCTTCGCGAGATGTCCTCTCAACACTATCCTCCTACGAAAAGGAAGCTCATTTTAAAAGTTGCCAAAGTGCCCAACTCAAAGGGATATAGCATACCTTCTACCAAAGCTTTGAATGCAAACATGAGAAGCCCTGTGGTGGTCAAAGGCTTGTATGAGCCCATTTTTTTGGGTGGCTCGTCTTAGGGTACCATGTTTCAGGTTGGTTCAAAAGGAAACCAAAGGAACACACCGAAGTCATTTGAGTGAGTGAGTGAGTGAGCGAAAGCTGCTGCGCTAGGTGGGAAGCGCAGAGCCACTGCCTAAGGCGCCATCCCTCCTGGCTTCGCAAGAGGCTCCGTAAACGTCATTGCCTCCTCCACTTGGAGTTCAAGCTGGCTAAGCGCCCCTCAGGCTCAGAGACCCAAATAAGTGTGGCCAGGGCTAGTCAGGCCCGCCACCCGCACCAATCGCGAACCGCGACTGGCCGGCATAAGGGCAAGACAGCGTAACATCCTCGAACGCAGCGATTCCCGCAGGCGCTTCCCACTGTGATAAATCACAATGGTACTAAGCCGCAACCACACACTGGGCCTCGTCCTGGCCTGAGGCAAAAGAGAGGCCCCTCACGGGTGGGCTTGGACGCAGCCAGACCGAGGTCATTTTTTCCTGAACGACACACCCATATGAACCCCTGGTATGAACCCCTGGTGAATGCACTTAATTTTGGGGAACCCAGCCCCCATTTCAGGCCCATCATGGCCACACAAATCAGAGGCGCCGAGTTGCAATGAAAACGATCAGGCTCCCAGGAACCCCCCTGTGAGGTGCTACGTTGAGACTAGGAGGGGTAACACGGACAGAAAGCACCATGTGGGTATGGGTCAAAATTAACCCACCAAAAAAAACCGCAGGTTTTGGTCCATGTTTCCACTTAGGGCAACCCATCTGAAATGGGTATTCCTATCTTTAACTCCCACAGCCATGCATTTTTTGGGCGGACGGTCCTAACCCAGGGATCCGGATGCATTATACACCTGAGCATTGCCTTGTAAATGGCTGTTGAAAAAAACACATGTTTCAATTGATTGCAAAACATGGATATCTTTTAAGGAGACCTCCTTCACCTTCACCGAACTGCCCAAAAGTTTTGATTGCGACTCGCTGCGAGCGGTGCGAGTGCCTCTTCCAGGGTGTAGGTCTGTGTCTCGATGCTGGAGATGCCCTCAATGCCCTTGAGCTTCGCCAGGAAGTCGGCCTCTCGGCGCTCACGGAAAAAAAGTCGGCCCTGCGGAAACAAAAAATGCGCATGGCCGAAATCCATTTCGCACTACTTTGAAACCATGAAAAAAAGAGTTTTGGTTGGCGTTTCGCAGGGGAATCATCATTCCAGCGCTTCTTGGTGCGAAATGGATTTCGTCCACAGGACTTCAAATACACCCCACCTATTCAGTGGCCCAAAGGACCCGGACAAAAAGAGGATCACCCTTTAAGGGGCACTAAAAGTTGACCAACGTGAAAAAAAAAAGAGACATGTCAGGTCGCTGCTTCGCGTTGGACAACTGAAGTAAGGCATATGTGCTCTGGCCCTTGCAGAACCTCCGTATGACCTATGAATTACAACGCGGACCCTCAATATTCCAACTTAAAAAAAAAGAAAAAAAAAAGATTGCGAACCAACATTATGGGTGAGTTCACCCTTCTGCTAGTTTGAGGGTCCACGGACTCATTTTGGAGTACGCCCTGCGTTGCCTTAGACACATCCACGATAAGGCAAGGGCTTCTGGTCCTTCAACCTTCACTCGGATGGTTGCGAAATCCGTTCGCACCCAACGGTATGGTCTCCTCCATGGTTTCATCTCGTGGTGCGAACGGAGGTCGCAACCATGCGCAGTGTGTTAGGTGCGTCCGTGTAGCTTCCACGATTGAACTCAGGCCCTGGCTCAAACATACACGTGCATATACATTCGTATGCATATGTATGTGTATATATATATATATGGTATGAGATACGGCAGTTATTTGTGCTACATTCATGGTATGGCCGGGTGTTCCCACCTTCTCGAACCCTGCATCACTCGGTTTGGAAGTGTTCCTGCCTCGTATTGAACCTAATTTAGCATGTTACCCCGAAAAATGGTTTCTGCCCGGCCTTTCCGCCTTTTCTGCAGCTGCCTGTAAATACTGGCAGAGCCGTGCGAACATTGTATGTGGTGTGCTTATGTCTAGATGCGTACATAATATATACACATATGTACAGTTATGTACATGATTAGACGCTCTGCTGAATGTGACCAGTGCAAATGAACATGTAAGATGCAGCAACTTACTCCCAGATCTCCTTCACCCACTACCTCCCTTTCAGTTCTTCACATCTTTTCGTCGGTTCCGAGGGCTTGGCCTCTCTGCTTCAATTTGGTGATTCCGAAAATAAGGAGCTGTCTGCAAAGGCGCAGGTAAGCTCCTGGTTCAACTGAGACTCTTCTCGCTGGAACGTTTATGGCAGCCACCACTCAACAACAACTAGTCAATCAGAAGAAAGGTCAATCAAACAAAATTCAGTCAAGAAGTCCATGTCTGTTCGAAGTTCGGAGTGATCATCGCCTTTGGTCGGCTTTGCACGTCTTCTTGCTGGAAAAAGCGCTTTTCTTCCGAAGCGCTTAAAAAAGGGCTGGCCCTAACTGAAGTGCCCCTCCCCGTTCAACCGTTCCCCCCAAAACAAAGACTGCTGCGAGTGCTGCGGCCGCCGCGTCCTCCGCAAATTGGGCGCCTCCGGCGCGAAGGAGGCCTTCTCCCAGTCCCCGAACTTGGCGGCCGGGAGCTTCACCACCACCTGACAGGAACATCCGGAGGCAGTTTTCACCTGAGCATTGCAACTTGTAAATGAGCTGGCTTCCAACTTTGCTTTGGGGTTGAAAAAGCAACATGTTTTAAATGGGTGCAAAATGTATCGTTTAAGGAGCCCTGAGAAAGGAAAAACCAGAGGGGTAGATTTCGTGTGGCTTGGGAGAAGTGCCATGGCAGATAAGTGCCAGGGAAGATTTGGTGTGGTTTGGGTGGATGATGAGTATATTTGAGATTAGGTTTGGTTTGGGGGAGGGATGATGAGTAGATTCTATATTTGGTTCGCTTTGAAACAAAACTGCCTTGTCATGGATGATAAGTAGAAGGCGTGGAGGCGAGAATTGCCCTGCCATGAATGATGCGAAGAAGGGGAGCTGGTTTGGTTTGGGTGAGAAAATGCCTTGCCATGGATGAGGAGTAGAAGGCTTGGATATGGGGAGAATTGTCTTGCCATGGCAGATGAGTAGAAGGGGAGAATTGCCTTGCCATGGCAGATAAGCAGGAGGCTTGCCATGGATCATGATTAGAGTTGGCTTGGATTGGGTGATAAAATGCCTTGCCATGGATGATGAGTAGAAGGCTTGGATATGGGGAGAATTGTCTTGCAGATGAGTAGAGGCTTTGATAGGGGGAATTGCCTTGTCTGACAGATGAGTAGAAGGCTTGGATAAAAAGAGAATTGCATTGCCATGGCAGATAAGCAGGAGGCTTGCCTCGTCATGGATGATGAGCAGATTTGGTGTAGTTTGGTAGGAGCCTTGCATACGGGAAGAATTGCCTTGCCGTGGATAATCAGTAGAAAGCTCGGATAGGGCGAGAAGTGCCTTGCCATGGCAGATGAGTAGAAGCCTTGGATAGGGGGAAAAGTGCCTTGCCATGGATGATGAGTGGAAGGCTTGGATAGGGGGGGAATTGCCTTGCCATGGCAAATGAGTAGAAGGCTTAGATAAAAGGAGAATTGCCTTGCCATTGCAGATAAGCAGGAGGCTTGCCTTGCCATGGATGATGAATAGAGTTGATGTGGTTTGGGGGAGAATTGCCTTGCCATGGGCCATGGATGATAAGTAGATTTGGTTTGGTTTGGGGGAGAACTCCCTTGCCAGAGTAGAAGGCTTGGATAGGGGAGAGTTGCCTTGCCATGGCAAATACGATAGGGGAGAATTGCCTTGCCTGGATAATGAGTAGATTTGGTTTGCTTTGGGAGAGAATTGCCTTGCCATGGGATATGAATAAAAGGCTTGGATAGGGGGAGAATTGCCTTGCCATGGATGATGAGTAGCAGATTTGGTTTGAGGGAGAATTGCCTTGCGATGGCAGATGAGTAGAAGGCTTGGATAGGAGGAGAAAGAAGGCTTGGATAAGGGGAGAATTGCCTTGCCATGGCAGATGAGTAAAAGCTTTGGTTTGGGGGAAATTGCCTTGCCATGGACGATGAGTAGAAGGCTTGGATAGGCGAGATTTGCCTTGCCATGGATGAATGAACCGGGGGTTGCGGGGGGATATTTGAGGGGGGAGATTTGGGGTTGGGGTGGGTGATATTGGAGGGGGGAGGGATTTCCATGTTTTAGAGTGTTTTCGGATTTGATCATCTGGCTCCCAGCAAACCTAGTGGATCAGTTGCTTAAGTTGCCTGAAAAAATACAATTTGTCCCGCACTGATAGATTCCCTTCAAAGCCAGCAGGGGAGATTCAAATATGCTTAAGCAAATGGAAGATACTGCTTACCTAAAAATATAATAAGTAGAAACAAACAAGTTGATAATGCTAATGATAATAATACTAATAATGAAAAAGAAAAAATGCCGAAACCAAACATGTCCCTCCTCTCCGCCGGCCGCCGGCCCTCGCCCACCCGGGGTGCGCCTTGAAGTCAAGGCAGCCTCCGCAGACCACCCGCTGCACACTGCCCGAGACCTACGGGTGAAACATCAGACCTAAGGTTCTTCTTCCGCTTCAAGACGAACCAAAAGCTTCGAAGGCTTAAAATGTACAAAGCGACAGATCCACCTTGGATGTGAATTTTAAGTGACCCAAACTGGACGTTCAACCACCAACCACTGGTTGTAAGACTCATGACTTCACCATTTCTTTCAAGTCAAAGGCCCCTGACACCTGACAGGTGCCCGAGTTGAGATTTAAGCTTGGTTAACCAACTAATTCAGATAGACTCAACGTCTCAAGGCCATAATGGATCCGTTTAACGTTTGGGGAGGAAACAAAGGGCCCCCTTGAGAGGACCTTTTCGGCTTCGTTTCAGGTCCCTTCAAGTGCTCTTTGATTCTTTCTGGGTGCTGCCAAAACCCTAACTGACCAGCGAGAAACAAGTGTATGCATATGTATGCACATGTTCCAAAGGCTCGAGACTCATTAAGTGGCTTTGGACAGCTTCCCCAAAAGTCAAGTAGTCTTCCAAAACCCTGGCGCGTTTCATGTGCTTGGAGCTGCAATACAAGATGGGGAGTGAACTAAAATTGGACTCCGTTATGGGCAGGACCGAGAGTGCTTGCCGAACCCAAAACAGGGCTGGAACAAATCGAAGGGGAGAGTCTAATGCTCAGCCGTGTCCCCCTTGGCCCTTGGAACCTTTAGGTGTAGCACGGCTGTTTTAAGCCAAACGCGGCTTGAAGCCCAGATGAGGTTTAAAAAGAGCTGCTTTGCACAGCCACGAGGTTTGGCGCTGACGGTCAAAGGAAAACGGTACAGCAAAAAACCAGACCATGAAAAAAAAGCGAAACCCCATTTGAAGCAAAGCGTCGGGTGCTTGCCCCTTCGCATGTGTTCGACACGCTTATTTTTTTCGGGCATGTCACGTCACCTTGAGTGGATAGGACAGCAAAAAGATGTTTGTTTACCACTAAAATGGTGAACACTTGACATATGGGTGCCAGTAGCCAATTTGTTTTGGAGCATCTACCGAGTACCCTAAAATGGTCCTACCAAAACGTTTAAAGTTCAGAAGAAAAAGACAGGGAGTGCGATGAGTATACTTATGACTGATCCAGTCAAAGTGTCAGAGATTAAGTTCAGAACACTTGACATGTGGGTGTCTTTTTTGCGGGTACCCAATTTGCTGTGGTGTTGAAGAGACACCAAAGAGAAAATCGTTGCGCCATTTTGGGCGTCAAACAATCCTAAAGACGGGCCGCCCATATGCAGCACCCCTCCAAGAGGGAGAGATCGACGTCGGGACAGAATCCAGATCACTAGGAGTGCACCCCCCCCAGGTGTGTTCCGACACCGGGTTACACTTTTTGGCTACATCCCGCGGGGTGGGTGATGCCCTTTTTTTGGGGGGGCTGACCGGGCAAAGCCACACAAGTGGGGAGCAAACTAAAACTCGATTGGCCAACAACAAATGGGGGTTGATCAAAAGGTCCGAAATACATGGGTTGACCATTGGACCAAACAATATTTGACTTGCACCACTAAATGGGAAGAGCTACGGCCAAAAGCAAAATTGATCAACTCCCGAATTTTGTTTGCCACAAACATGTCCTGCCAGAACATGCAAGCCCAGCAACTCGTGAGCACACTGGTTGACGAATAGGCGGAGAGTTCCTTTTTCAGAGAGATCCGGATCATCTGTCAAAGAAACGCCTCCTTCGTCTTACAAGCTTTCTGATACAAACTAGCTGTAAAAGCGTAAAAGGTCTCAACTGGAACGGTCCTCGACCCCAAGAAGCCCTCGCCAATTGCCGCCTTGGTTACCCTTAAACTGAATAACTCCATAAGTCATGGGGCCCCGACCGCAAACCCTTGGCTTTGCGCTCAACCTTGGGTCTTTGAGGGGGTCACTGGATGTCCCCGAAAATTGCAATCTACTTGTGGTTTTCATTGAAACGGTCGAGGTCCCAATCAGGACATGGCTCGGAAACCCTGTCTTTGGTTCACTTCCCGAGTGGACTGACCCGAAAAAGTCCCCAAACTATTCGTGTAAGCCACTAAAATGGTCCAAACCCAACAGATGAGAAACTCCAAACTTCTTGTTTACCACTATAATATAAATGGTCCAAATCCAAAGGTTCAAAGTCCAAAACGGACCTCCGGAAGTTGGGGAAAAAACACCATCAAACCCACAGCCCTTGTCCTCGATCGAGTCGCGCTTAGGGTCGCCCGCCCGCGCTTTGCCGCGCCTCTTTGACCTTCGGCAGCACCTCCTCCAAGGCCTTCTGCGCCGCGGTCAGGGACGCCTGGGAACCCCTCCGCGTGCGTCACAGCGACGACTTTAAGAAAAAACGGCCAAAATGGCGCAATGGATTTCCCTTTGGTTTCCCTTCAGCACCACAACAAATTGGGTACCCGCAAAAAAAAGACACACCCGGAGTCTCCTTCTGACCCTTTAAAAATAGGGTCATTGGCCAAAATAAGGGGGTCATGGACCCACTTTTCAAGGGGCATGGAGACTCCAGGGACGACTTTAAGGCTGGAGCTCGGGGAAAAGACGAAGCGGAACCATCGCAGGGCGCTGAGTTCTTTGGTAAATAGCTTGATCTTAAACGGGGGGAAGCCCCCTCAGAAGAAAAGAAGGCACGCCATTTTGTGGTTTAACTGGTGTTTAAGAAAACGCCCCCTCCGAAAACAACGGAAACATTAGCAGGAGACCGCAGCTCGTCTCCATTTTCCAGAAAGCCCACAAATTCACCTCTGCATGTCTTCGGATCCGTCCAAAAACGCCAGCTCAGTTGCCCAGTTTGGACCTAAGAAATAAAAGGACCACCTTTGGGGTCCATGACTATGAACCAAGAACGGAAAGCTAAAAGATCAAAAGGTCGTCTTTAGACACTTGACCCATTTTCGATTGGCCAAAACAAGTCTAAACTTGTTGTTTAGTTGCTGACATGGCTGTGGGTCAAAACCAATGGTACCATTTTGGGGTAGGTGCACCACCCATTTTAGTCTATTTCAGTGGGGATTGGGATGTTCACTGGGGGTACGGGCTTTTTACCCATGGCCACGTGGTCCAAAAACAAAGAGCGACTTGCCTTTTTCTTAGTACTCTTTTTGGGCAGGAAAACACTGAAGCTCGTTTGGCCCACCCACAAATTTCACACGTGAATCTGCTGCATATGGGGTGTCTGTAAAAAGGCCCCACCCCCCCATGTTCAAGTCCTTTGGGTGTCCCCTTAAACCCACGCGAAAGGGTACCTTCAAGTGCCGAGCCCAGCTTGCAGGGGTTCCCATATTTTCACCCAAGCTAACACATGTGGGAGAATAAAACCCTCCCACCCTTTTCACATGGAACCTTTCGACCTTCGTTTTGGGGTCCTGGACCATCTTCCTCTTAAATGGGCCGGGACCTGGACGTCGGAGAGTTCCATGTGAAAAGGGTGGAGGGGTAAAGGGAAACCAATTGGACAACACCCAGTTTGGGGGGTGGAGGAACCCCCTAAAAAAGATGAGCCGCGCGACTGAACTAGCACAAACACATGGCCAACATTGTTCTTCTGCTTTGGGATCCTCGGCTCAACCCGGAAAAAATGGCTGGTGGCTGAAAAGAACCATGGCCAAAGGGCCTGCCTAGACCCTCAAGCCACAAAACAGGAACTCGCCCCCATGCTGTTGGAGCAATCACCGATTTCTCGGGTAGATTGAGGGTCCCGGTGGAAGCAACATGCGATCACGGTTTGGAATCTTGACATGGACCAAATCAGGGACACCAAAACGTCATTGCAGCTCAATGCGGAAAAGAACGAGCGAACGAATGGACAATGCTCCCTGAAAAAGTGGGGTTTCTAAAAAGAGACAAGCCTTTACAACCCTAATGGTAGCCCCCTGATCAAAAATGAACAGAACCAGACAAGGCTGTGGGAAATGCCCACTTCTGTGATACAACAAAAAGGGCTTCCCACAGACTAACCCCCCAGTACAGGGGGAGATTCCCTTGTATCACCTTGATCCCACAACCATGGAACCAAAACAACAAAACAAAGAAACAAAAACTTGCAACCAGTGCAGTGGGGATAAACCTCTTGATTCCACAACCCTGGTGAAGGACCCCAACATGTGGGGCTTTGGGCACCTTGAAGGTTTCACAAGCGCCTTCTCATTGTCGCCGGACCACTTGCAGCGCCACTCTCGGGCGATGTTCTCGAACCTCGCTTCGATTCGAGTTGCGACCCCCAGAGAAGGATTCTCACCCAGGGGGGTGGTCTCAAAACTATGACGTGGCTCGTGTTTTTAGGAATCGGAGCTTCTAGAATGGCTTCAGATTTCTATTTGGTTGCCTTGAAAGCCACAAAATTTGGGAGGCGGTACCCTTAAAGCAAAAGCATATAGACCTGACCCTCAGACTACCCTTCAAAAAAAAGCCATTATAACCCTGGTTGGCAAGACCCCCTTTTTCAACCTTGAAACCCCCAAAGGCCCAAAATGGTTGCTTTTATTTTGGCTTCCCTTGAAAACCAGTAGGTTCGCCAAAAACACGCGCAACACACAAAGTAACACTGGAATTTCAAAAGGAGCATTTCCCCAAAGCAGATTCCTTGGCAAATGGATCGAGTTATTGCGGTTGCACGCTAAGCTGTCACCTTGGTTTGTTGCTTTTAGCTAGTCTTTGCTATGCAAAACACCTTTCGTGGGGTATGTCATGACTCTCTCTAAACTCTAAGGGCCTGAACGTCTAAGGGTATCGATGGGAACTGCCAAGACACCAAGGGGCAAGCTCGCGAACCCAACTGCGGCCAAGTGAAATACGGTGGGTGCGAAATACATCTTGACCGTTCAGAAACCCAAGGGAATGATTCCATTTCCCGAAAAACATACCAAGAAATGTTATGGTTTCAACCATGGTTTCAGAGCGGTGCAGGATTTTTGTCCATCCACTGTAATTGTGATCATTCAGACAATTCAAACCGTGTCAATGAGGGATCTAGGCCTAGGCACCTCCAAGAATGGTCAGAAACCCGAAATGAGAAGGACCCCGCGCCTTTGACTCGCCTTTGATTCCTCACCTGTCGAAATTGAGGCATTCTGTTGGTTTCTCATGAAAGAAACATGCAACAGGACTTGGGTGTGTCATTTTTGAGGTTAGCTCCTTATCTTGTGACTTTACAGGAAAACAAAAAGGAAAACAAGTTTGCCGTTTTGGGGGGTCCGCTTCCCAAAACAAGACGCGGTGGCAGACTGGGCTTGCCTTTTGGCACCCTCCAAGCTGGTTTGACATGTGCCTATGCGAACCGCTCAATGCGGAAATCACTTCAAGATGCTTGGGAGAAAACGCGGCATGCTCGTGCATGTGCCGAAAACGAGTCAGTGGAAAGCCTGAACTCGACATGGTCTTCAGCCTTTTGAGCACTAACGCGAGTTTGGCTTGCAGTTACCTTCCGAAATAAGTTAAACCCTCACATCGAACTCAGATTTGAGCAGGACTGCCCTGCCAGAATCTAAATACCGGGACCCTCAAACAATCCTTTAAAGAAATGTAATTGCCCCACAATTATGTGGTGATTTCCGTTTTTGAGTAGTTTAGTTCCAGCAGCCCCCACCTTTACTACCGGGAAAACCAAAAGCTTATTTCAGGTCGTTTCGGGCAACTGAGTTGAAACCAATGTTCGAATCAGCGCGGACTGGGTTGACTCTTGGTACCACGATGCTGAAGGCTTATGTGCGTGTATCTTTTTGTTTGCGGAACCCCATTCTGGTGGTTTGAGAAGCAAACCAAAAGGAACAAACATATTTTGGGGGTCCAGTAAAACAAGACACACCCATGTAGGCCTTACTATCCCCATTCAGCCACTTAGTCAACTACAGTTTTGGGGCGCTCAACTGACCTTGAAAAGGCGGTGTCCCATTTGCAAGGGGATCGTTCGTTTTTGGGAACCCCCTTTGGATCTGCCGGGCTCTACTCTCTGCGCATTCAACCAGGGCGCCTGTAGGCTGAGGGCACTTCACCAAAACGGGCCGACCAATCTCATCTCACGGATTTCATCCGGGTTCGGAATCGTACATCTGGGCAAGTTCCTATATATGATTCTATAACAAACAAACTGGGAATGAGCGAACCACCCCGTATGATGGACACTTAAGTCAACTTTTACAACATCTTTCTTTTTCTGCTCATTTTACCCCCAAGAAAAGCATTACAATTTGCCCAAGCTTCTTCGCAGTGGTATCCTACGATCTCTGCCGAAGCACTTGACCGCATCGGTGATAGCCGGCATGGCTGAACAACAGCGAGGAAGGGAAACGGTGGGCGTCGAACAAAAGCTGAGCCAAGACAAACAAAGGTGAACCCCGCATAAAAACACGATTCAGGAGTGGACACCAAATGACACCAACATGTCCATCTTGATTTGGTCATCTGTTAATTCGGAGGAAGCCTATAAAAGTCGGTGACTCGCTCAAACACACAAGCATGCAATCTGACAGAAGATTGGTAAATGACCGTTTTTCAGGTACCTCGCCCTCAGGTCCTGAGATGCAGTAACCACTCTTCAGGTGGGCTCCGTGACCGAAAAGTACCAACCTGCATACGGAAGCGGGGCTTCAGCCAAGTAACCCCAACCTGGCTACTATCCATGGGTGGCTCGTTTGGGGGATTATGCTTGTTGGTCGGTTGGGATGCCCTCAAAAGTACACATCCATATTATGAGATTTCAGGGACTACTTGCAGGCAGGAAACTAATGTCCCTTGACGGCTCCCAGGGGTGTTTCTGGTCTCCAAGAACCCTGAAAAATGGTTGGGTTTGTTACATACCCAAGTACATGACCAACCAATCCTCCATTTGCTTGAGTCTCTTGGAAGAAGCCATATTTCCAGTAGTGATAGATTCTCTTTTCGACCGACAGGGAAAACAAAAAAGTGTTCTTCAGAAAATGGAAGGTTTTCTTGAACCCCCCCTCCAGCAAGAACATATCAGCTTTTCCATTGGTTTCCCAACAAAACCCCGAAGGGCTTCAACCCCCCCCAAAGCAAATAGAAACAATTGATGAAAGGCTGGGAATGAGACTCCACCCCACCCCACCCCCACCCCTAACCCACTTGCGAAACCTTTTCACGTCGTCGTCTGCGAAACACCTAGTCCTTTGGACCGTTGATGTAACCGGCCAGAGATGGAAATCCAGGGAACGGTTCGGCTTGACTGGTTGGAGCTGTCGTCATTTCAACCCAAGGCAAACCTGGAACGAACAAGCTCAAAGGATAAGCAACCAGTCTGGTGTACGTGTTTTTTGTTTTTTAGGGAACAAGCAAAACCACGCATTTTGAGGGTCTCTGAAATTAAAACATATTCCCGTATAAAGGGTTTTTGTATGAATTATACCTGGGCTATCAATTCTCCCACCCAACATGGAACCTGACGGGGGCTTCGTTCGTTGCTTTGAGTGGGCTCCAACAGACTCTCAAAGTCAAGTCTCACTGACGCTATGGCTCAGAACCGCAAT